TCGAATGTGTATCCCTAATTTGGGCGTGCGTGCAAACCGTATCGTTATATCGTATCTGAACCCGTATCCGTTACCGTAAAATATTTATTTCCGGTGTTAGATACCTGTGACTGGTTTCGCACTTCATAACCAGGGTTACAGACCTCAGTGAAAAAAGAGTGCTTCGTGCATCTTCGATAATGCAAAACTGTGCTTGAGTCGATGAACAACACCCTGTGCCAGGTCTTCTTCATCTTGTACATCATCGAGCTTCATCTTTTCTTCAACAACTTTGAGAGTTTCAAAACATTGATTGAAAAAACCTGTTTACTAAAACCTTTTTGCTTAAAAACACATCAAAAACTTTATTTGCGTGTATTTGTCTGGATTTGTCTCTCAGGATGTGTTTATTATTGTCTTTATTTGTCATTTTTTGACGTTTATTGTCGCTGTTTGTCTTTGTGTGCCATTTTTTACCTTAGCTGTCGAAAAAAAACCTCGAGGATCTAAGCCCTGTGGTTCTGGACCCTCCCAAACGGTCAATGAACATGTCATGTCATGTAGCACTAGAAACTGACCTCATATGTCCACAGCAACCTTTGTCCTGAATTTCCGATGGCTACAGCATCGGTGTTGCCATTAGCGCTCCAGAACAACATTGCATGTGTCTGCTGCGAGTGAAACTGCAAATTTCGTGACTTGTGTGCACGATCGTATGACGAAGACTCCTGTGTGCAGTCTCGTCACTTCTTTCCTCGTCCTACTTCTGGTGCTAAGAATTGAAGGAAACCCCAAATCCCCGAAGCTGTCCTCGAGCATGCCAAGCCGTTCTCGATTGTCAAGTGCCTGAACCTTTGAACCTGACCCGTCAACCTAAACCCCTCAAGCACTAAACCCTTGAGCCTTTGAACCTCTTAAAGCCTTTACAGCCGCAGAGGCCTAAAACCCGACAGCCGAAACCCTCAACCTAGAAAACAAGCCAAACTGGCCCTGGTCAGTCCACGATGGCGTGCAAAAGCGTAGCCCCGCCACCAATAGTAGTGGTACTCGTAGTACGACAACTTCGACCTGCCCCAAACCGTGAATTTGTTTCAACCCCAAGCTCTATATGCCTCGAACGAAACATAGGCATCAGCATAAGGCTTTCAAGGTGTCAAAGTAGGGGGACAGAAAACCGGTCCCCCACACAAGAGTTCCAGCATAGTTTCGGTTGCTTGGTTTTGTTGGGGCAGTTCCTATTACGCTCCTGGCGCGGTTCCTGTTTACTAGCCCTCGTTCCCGTTACGACCCCCAGAAATGGTTTCAGCTACTCCCCAAACGAGTTCGTGTTATTCCCCGCACCCGATACCAGAACACGTGGAGTGTCGCTCGCGCAAGCGACGTTTGCTTGCACCTGGGCCCAACATCGCTGCTCTTGTGGCCTTAAGTGGGGTTTGCGAGACCTGGCTGCTATCGTGCTGTCATATCGAATGGTTCACTCATGTGCGTGCTCCTACGTGTGCACATGGTATAAATTTTTACGCATGTCATGACATCTTATGTGTTAAACGCCGTACAGAAAGTGTCGCCGGCCGCAGTTCTAACAAAAACCGAGCCAAGTTTCCAGATAGCCGGGTCGGGAGCACCCCTGCAGGCCGTGCTGTCTGCGGCTTCTGGAGTCTGCATCTTAAATTTGCCCAGGCCACTGTGCCATGACATGTGATGATGTTGCGGGCACGTGGATACCAAGAGTGCGTGTGCAAAGCCTTAGTTCGAGGAGTGCTTGTGCAAAGCCTTAGTTCGAGGCCGAGTCTCCGCCTCGTCCCGCTGGGGTGCAATCCAGCGCCCGCGAAATGCTCTTAACTCAGCATGGCACAGAATTGCATGTTTACGTGCGCAAGCATGAGCTGAACTGCTTGTAGACCGTTAAACCGTGCTGCCATGCTTTCAGGTCAACCCGACAGACGGTGGAAGATTCTGCGGAGTCAGCAAAGCTCCAAACACTTCCAATAGAATATCTGCAGTGGCCACCTCAGTCGCCGCTTCAGCACCCACCGCATGGTTGGAGTTGAATTTCCGAACAGGCCGCACTACAAGTACCAAGATGGAAACGCATAACGGATTTCACAGCTCCAAGAAAGAGGAACAAATGTGAAGTAACATGATTCACCAAAAAGGAATAATACCGCTTCTGTTATTGCTTCATGACGCACTTACGGTGATGGCACTTGCGGCTCAATTTTGAGGTATTTGCGTTCGCCTGAACGTGTCACATCTGCAGACTGGCCCCTGCCTCGATGACGCGGAAATCGCTAGTAGAGCCCACCTCACGCTGCCCGAACGCCTTCCGAAAGCTGATTTATAGTGCAAGCAATGCTGTACGCCACATCCTGCGATCACTGTGCATTCGTTCAAAAACGTTTGGGGGAATCTGTATGCTGGAAGAAGAAAGGGCCTGTTACTTTTGTGTTGCAAAATGTCGCAATCCAGACGACCTAGGTTCGAGACCCTCCTGCTCATCCCGAAATCTCGAGTGTTGGACCGCATTTCTGGGCCCCTTCTGTGGATGACGGTCACGACCTGAGACCCAGACTTCCCCAGCGTGACATCTGTAGTTGAAAAAGCTGACACGGTTCGAGTTTAGATGAAGCCTCGATATATAGACGCAAGGCCAGCAGCATGCACAAATACATTGCAGTTAGTTTGCCTTCGAGGCGCATCAGAAGTTGAGTGTTGTATGTTGCGTTTTGTTGTATCACGGCAGATGCCGAGCCTCAGGGGCTTTCGAGTAGGGGCAAAAGATATCCTTTGAAGATGCAGCAAGCACTATGTGGCGGTTATTGCCTATAGTACAAAAAGCTTTGAGGATCTGTCCTGGCTTGCCATTGTAAACGTGCAAGTACCGACACGCCTGACCAACATAATGCAGACTTGGTCGCTTGACTTTATGTGGTTGTTCATGGCTGCGGAGGTCGTCGCCACGGTCACCAGTGCATTGCATTGCTGTTGCGGCATGCCGGGGCTCCCCACGATGCAGGCGCGCTTCAAGCTGGCACCCACTATTAACATGCACTCGCAGTCTCAGTCACAGCGCGTACATCAGCATATTCATCGTCCATTGTCAGGCGATTGGGGCTCATATACCCAGAACTCAACTAGCAACTGGCATGTGTTTCGAGCATGAAATGTGGATGTTACGACAAAGGGTTTTGCGAGAACTTTGATCGAGCTTCGAAAGAAACAGCCAAGTCCGCATCTATGTGCCCCTATGTTTTGGCGAATGTAGTTTATGGCCTAAGGTGTTGAGTCGAGAAATTGCTGCATAAGGTTTCAAGCAGTCAAGACATATGAACTTGAAAGGTTGGTTTCAACCGCGGAAGGGCCGAATCAAGAGTAGTCTGTTTGGGCCTCCGCCCCAAACAGACCCCCGACCGTAAAATTGCCAACTTTTCACGCCTTGCACGTTCAATGTAGATGCAAGGACTCTGTTCTGGGTTTGAGTTTCCGTGAATCCAGGGCATTCAACCTTCCTAAGCGGCACCTGTAAACTCTGCAGGTGCACACCCTCCTTGGTTCCGGCATGCTCCTCAGGAATAGAGTTGCAGGGCTGCCCCGATCTGGAGACGATTCACTCAAGCTGTCGTTTTGATGGGGTTGTAGCAGGTCTGAGCCTCCTCCTGGTGTTCAGAACGAACTCTGCCTACCAGCGTTTCCAGGCAAGCCTGTCTTGGCGCAACGGATTGCTCATGAAACTTCCTGTTTTGACAATGTTGTTGCCGAAGGAAGGCCGCAAGATCTGGAATGACATACTGGATCTCAGTCCCTTGGCATGGTACTCGCCTTTGCGACGTTCAGTTGCACGGCATGTTTAGCCACATAAGCGCATGTCCATCGCCAGACATGACCTTGCACTTCTCAAGTCGAGGTCGTGGTTGGCACCCTGTGGACTAAGCATGACTAAGCTGTTGGGTTTTTGTTCCACGGAGGTGTTGTGCCATCGCCAGATCTGCGAAATCAGCACCTTCGAGCAGACAGATTCCGAGAAAAGGCAGTAAACCAAACATCACAACAAACGGGCGGGCCAAAACACGTAATTGGGATTTTACAAGCCACACCGAGTGAGTTCGAGATTTGCGCAAGACTCCATGAACCAGGAATTTAATGGTCGCGAATGTTCAGCTTTGCTCAGAGATGCTTCCATGAACTTCGCTGCCGTACATATAGCCCCAAGGCTTTCTTCGGCGTAGGTGGTTCTTCTATCCAAAAGAACATCAAGTGATGTAGCATCCAGCGCAGTCGAGCTCTGTCAGGCTAACCGGGCTAAGCCTCCAAGCCCCAAAGGACTTCAAACTCGAAGCCACTGAATCGAAATCTTGTCTGCCAGCCCGGGACTTGGCTCTGAGCGTGGGCCTCTTCCGAAAGGAGGCGCCTGGGTCGGGATGCTTGGTGCTCCTGGCTACGGCCTCTAGAGCTTAAGAGGCGTCTTGCAGGGTCCGTCAGAATCGCAGGACCCAGTGTGCCCACTCCTTACCAACAAGAAGTCATCGGGCCATGAACTGGTTACTAGTATCACCATGTCTGCCAATAGTGCACAATCGAACTGCCTTGCGGAATGCCACCCGGCCATGAACAGGTGGCTACTATGACCATATCCGCCAACACTGCATAGAAGAGTTACTCTACGGAATGCATGTTGAGTTATGGTTGAGTCCGAAACTGCAGCATTTAGCAGAAAGCCTGAGTACCACGGGCAAAAGCGAGACTCCTTGCCAAACCTATTGCCAATTCAATTGCCAGAACCTTGGAGGTCCACATTAAGGTCTGTCTATATAAACCCATGGCCTTGGAGAATCAGCACTCGACTTTATTAACCCAGCCCCCACCCACCTTTTGCAGGCAGGTCCGAAGCGCATTCGGATCATTCGAACCTCTGCCGAGATCTCAGAATTTCTTGAGCTTCGACGGTTTGGGTTCTGAGTTGTAGTCGGTCGCAGCTGCACTCGGGTCGCCCCAACGCGCAGATCCAAGCCTTCCCCTTTGCGATGCAAGAGCACGTCCGGGCCAAGGACCACACCAAGTAGGCATCGGGAAGGAAGTTGCGGCATGATGTCGACCATGCCGCGCAGTTTGAGGGATGTATGTATGTGCATTACATATATATATATATATGTAATATATATATATATACATACACATGTGTATATACATATATCAGTTTTGTTGTCTTTGCCTTGAGAAGGAAGGGGCCGTAGAGTTGGGGCTAAGGCTTGCTCTTATTAAGTCCAATCCCAGGAATTAGATCAAATCTGAGTCCACAGTGCTAATCTCTGAGTTTAAGCTGATGATGTCGTTACTGTCCCTTGCGTTATGCCCCGTTCAGAATGTTACAACGGCGCGCCTCACACGGAGTGCACAAAGACTCCCCAGCCCAAGCCATTCCGGAGGAGTCAAACAACATCAAGCAGAGGCTCAACTGGCTGCTGGAGGACGATCTCACCTTGCAGGGTCAGGGAGCCGGCAAGTTCAATAAAACCACCACCGGCACCATCACACAGAGCGACCACCGCCCCCACGTCAATAACCATCGTCGTTTCCGATAATTGTCTACAGCCGCCACTGCCACAACGCGAACACCAAATCCCAGCATAGCACTTGTACTCACAACCATCGGTGGAGCTTTAGTAGCACCGGGGCCCGCAAGTGGCGCCAGGAGATGCACCAGGCGCGCTTAGAGCTGAGCGGCCGTTCGAAGAGTTCCGGTTGGCAGCTCAGCCAAGGCAAGCGGAAAGCCAGAGTCAGAGCAGCCGTAGGCGGCGTCGTAGTAGTAGTCGTCGCCGTCGGCGTCGTAGCAGCAGCTCAGTAGCAGTAACAGTAGGAAAAGGAGGAGGAGGACACCTGTTGAGTGGATAGTAGTGAGGGTAGGCACAGAGTTTCCTGAGGTGCTGCGGGATTTTGGAGGTCCAGAGTCTGTGAGGGTGTGAGGCTGCCAAGATTTAGCCTGCGCTAGGGGTTGAAAGGCCTCAACCTTGATGTGTGCAACGCGCAAACATCCGATCAGACGATGTTTTCGAAGGATCGGGATCGGGTTGTTGCCGTTGCGGTATGGACCTGCGAGCACCGTCGTTTGCTCTAGGGATCCCTAGTAAACACAACACGGCCCTAAAAGCCGAAATCCGAAACCGTCAAGAAGGATGTCAGGTTTTCGTGTATGTGCTGTGTGTCCGCAAAGCCGAAGTTGAAGCTCTAGGCTCGGGACCCAAAGCACCGCGTGGGCCGAGACCACCGTCCAGGGCTGAGGAGTTGAGCAGATCCCAAGCGACCAAGGAGATATTGTTGGATGTGGCATTATGATCACGACGACGATAAACGCGGCGACGGCATGATCAAGGCGACGAAGCAACTGTGATGATGTGATCGATGCTGTTGGTGATGACGACGCTGGTGCACAAGATGACCATGACAAGGCTCATGATGATCCGATAGCACAGGCTGCTGCAGCATCTGGAGCCCATAATTACAGTTGAACCGTAGTCGATTTCGTGATGGTAGTAGCAGCAGGTAGGAGGCAGCGTGGTGGGGGCTTGAGATGAAGTTTAAACGTGGAAAAACGATTTGAAAACATTGTCAGAAGCAACAACAATGATGCTCCCGCAAGTGACATAAGCAGGAATAATGAGAACAATGGTTCTTGCAAGTCAGTAAAGAAAAGCTGTACCATTTCATTGTGCCGGGAATTTAACACATGTATTTTTAGGAAAAATCTTAGAAATCTTGGTCAATCTTGGTCCAAGAGCAATATTGCCAGCAATCTTGCTCCCCCCCCCCCAAAGGGGGCAAGATTGCTTGGCAATCTTGCAAAAATACTTGTGTAATTCCTGGCACACTGTACCGTTTGAGCAACCGAGCACTTGCTGGATTTTTTCCAGGACGCAGATGCAGCACGCGCCGCTGGCAACATATGTAGCCTCTTAGCGTAGTGGGCACACATGCAAAGCACTGGGAAGCCCAGACGAGCAGCAAGGAACCGCCCTTTACACATCATCTCGCGACTTCTCAATGCCTTTGCCTCAGCTGGGCTCAAGTTGGGAGAAGCTTTGGAAGCGACAGGTGCCATCAAGTCCGTTGCACAGGTTTCCTAGCAGCGCACTTAGGTCGTGAACTCCATCCCCGACTGTGAGGCCAGTCCGGCATTATCGACACAAGTTTGCTGCTCGTTCGAAAGAAGTGTCGGCTTCGACGCCCAGATGCAGCTGTGGGTTGCATCTGGGCTTGGCCCATGCCCGTCGCAAAATGCAAACGCAGGGAACTTTCACAAACCGCGAGCGGGTGTGGTTGCTGCCTTTGCCTCGGACAGCATGCAATGTCAAGCCCTGGACTGAACCTTGTTCTGCCGCTGAGGTAAGAATGAACCGATTTCCCAAGCCTTCACCAAGGTCAATGGTCACAGCGCTGTCCCACACGGTTGGCCGGCACGAGCCTCGACACGGCCGGCAAAAAAGCCGGATACATGCGTATCTCTATGGATGATTCTACTAGTTCGGAGACAGGATAAGGCTCGGATCGGGGTTCCGTGCGCCAAGAAGATTGCTCTTCACAAGCGTATTGCAAGAAAGACCGTGCGGTCTGAGGTGCGAGCGGCTAGTCCAGACTCCTGTTCCACTCTCCTATGCGCGTGGGACTTGGGGCTGAGCTACCAGCTCAAAGTTCAAAAAGAAAGACGCGGGTTGAGCGTTGAGCTGTCATCAACCACGGTGCTGGGCGATAGCCCTCCCAGGCGCCATACTGCGCGCTTCGTTTCCGTTTGGACGCCCTCGGCTCAGGGCTGGCGTTGCCCCAACACCGAGGCTTGAAATTTTCTGCGCCACAGCCAAGGTTAACTTTGCCCTTCGCTCTTGTCAGCAGCTATCGGTGGCTCACGGGACCGTGTGTCGGAGACTGAGGTCACAGCTTACGTATCGTTTAGGGTCTCGAGTCTTGAGTCGGCAAGTGCGTTCTCAAAGCAAGTGCGTCCTGGGCTCAAGGAGGGGAGAATGTGGGAGACGGAGAAACCAGCAACTCCCGGGCTCAGGTGGCCTTCGTGACGTGGGCGCTCTTTGGCATCTTGGAAATTGGGAACCTCATCGAGGCGCTGGCTTTCCAAAAATGGTTCTTCGGGCATCAAGCATCGAAGCTTACAGGCATGTTGAGCCTGGGTTGGATAAGTATCCAAGAACCATCCGGCTGATGGCTTTGTCAAGTCCTGGCTTTAATCTCCATGATGGCCGGGACAGTTGAAGCTATGGGGGCTCCCCTCAGCCAAAGTCCTCGAGCATAGACCTACAGCGGTTTCTCTGAGCCCCTACATCCACCCTCCGTTCTGCGGCGCTGGAAATCTGTGTCAACACCTCTGAGACATTTCTTACCACAGTCCCTGAGCCAGGATCCCTTCCGCCGCAGCATTGAGCTAACCCCCATCTGCGAGGCCTCGACCAGTAGCATTGATGTTCATACATTATCCGAGTACCGCAAAACCCCGGTAAGACTCCAATACCCTACCAGCAGCTGTTGGCCGTCATCGGAACATCGCAAAATCATGGTAAGACCCGGAAGATGCCTTCTTCCTGAGAAAGTGGGGGTGATTGAAAGGTGAAGGGTTTAGGGTTTAGCGAATGCTTCATTCCTCGGGTCTTGAGAGCCGATCGGTTGTTTTTAGGATGGCTTGAGGTTTTGTGGGGCTTGCGTTTGGGATCCCGAGTTTAGAGCCTCGATGCGTTTAGAACACGGCTCCCAAATCAAACTTCACGCGCAGGAGCGGATTGTTAAGGACTTGCAAAGGCTGAAACGAGCTTTGTGCGTTTCTGTAGCTGACTGAGGCAACACAAATCAGGGCCGCAAGTCGAAGTTCCAATTCCTTTCTGATTCAGGGCTAGCACGATGCTGGTATCAAAAACGCCTAGAGAATGACACAGGCCACAAATAGAAGAGTGCTAGCACGCTTGTAAGAGCCTCTTCAATGCGGCAGCTCGCTGGTGGTAGATCCCATGTTCCGTAGCGCAGGCCCTTAGACTAACAACATGCATCGCCCATGCTTCAGTGAGCAACACAGCCCCTCGAATGCGAGGCCATCTACCACGATGCCGGCAGGGCTTTGTCAGCGGAAGTGGGAAACTCAGTCGCAGAAGGCTTTGAAACTGAAACTTGGCTGTGCACCAACCACGGGGGTGAGCTCATCCTCAGAACCTGTTGTGACCGCTGCTGTCCTTACTCTTTAGTAAAATACGGTAGCAGCAGGAAGTCGAAGCTGTCTTCAGTATTGCTGGCCTGTCGGCTGGATCTTCCTCGACCGACTTTTCCGTGCCGGATAAGGTACGCTTTCTGCAACAAGTCCACAAAATCTCCGGAGCAGTTACTTCTTCCTGATCCGCTTTCTCGTGGGATGTCTGCGGTATAGATGTCTCTCCATTGTCTTTGCACGCAGCGCACTTGCGGCGAGACCTTTCCAAGCCTGCCCTCAGCGCTTCAGCAATCAATGCATGGTATCCTTTAGAACCCGACAACTGATGCGAAGCTTACACAGAGGCCAGCTCTTTGCCACGGCAGCCGTGAGCTTGTACAGTACCAGATCTCAGCTCAATAAATGGAGATTCCGATAGTCGCAGATGTAGCGCCGTTTCGGGATGTGTGTCCTTTCCACCTATAGATGCGTGGGACAACACTGTTCCTGTGCAGTCTGCGGGTCGGGGCTCCGGCCTTGACTGAAAGAGTCTGGCGTTTGGCCTTGCACAGTTGAAGCAACACTGACCTGAGCCCGAACTCTCTCGTTGTACTGCCAACCCTGCGAGACGTGAGGATTTGTATCCAATCCGGCAATGCAGAGGCGTCGTTGTGTCTGGCCACTCGCACGACTGGGTCATGTTCCCATCCCAACAATTGCAAGAAGCAAATAGAGTTGGGGAACATGGTCATACTACATCTATGTTCAGATGGAAAAAGATTATGAATTGGCTGATCCTAGAATGTTTTGCAATTTTTCATAATTATATATAATTAATTAAAAATATAAGAAAACTGGTTAATATTCAAATATTTTTGATGATTTTTTCTGCAAGATATTCGATGATATTAGTAATCGAGATTCTGATCGAAAAATTGTCTAATATTTGAATAGTAATATTTATTTTTATATATCTTAATATTTTTAATTTGAAATATGAAATAGATTCGCGTATAATGTGGTCTCTTGATTTGTGTAATTTGATCGCACCTTCTTGATTGTAGGGACTCTTTGGATAAAGTTAACGGTTGAGCGGGATTAGTCTTTGTATTGATAATGGAGGTCTCGTTTAAGAGAACTAGAATTCGAACCCGATAGGACGGTCTTGCGCGGTTATAGGTTGTTATAATTAGTGGATCGTTGATTTGTCGACTAGATTAAGATATGGATTTAGATTTGATGGAATTTGGCTTCTTGATATATATTGAGATTATTCGTGATTCTTACGAATAGGAGTTCCGTACTATGATACGATTGAAATAAATTGAGGCAGACGAGTGATTGGAGCTCCTCCATTGCTTAAATAATGAGGGGTATATTGGAAGATCTAGGAATAGATATTATCTTTTTCTTTGAACGATAATATCTCTAAGATCGTGGAAATGGGGAGAGAAAGATTGTTTCCCCCTAGTGGAGTAAGACTCGAAGGAATTCCACTGCTTGGGTACATAAATTGGACGAATATTGTGGCGCCAATCGGAACCGATGGTCTTTTATATTGATAGGAGAAAGCGTTGGTTATGGAAGTTCTTGTAGCTGGACGAAGCGACATATAGTAGAGAAATTATTTTCTTAGACTTGCTATTGGACAATTCGGGACTCATTCGGAATGAGCGGTTGATGGCGTCTATAGACGGTTCCCCTTTCGTTAAAGATACCGAGAAAGCGTTGATTAAGATACACAATCGTATGCGTATTTTGGAGCGATGTACGTCTTGCAACAAAGGGTGACCGAGGCAAGGGGAAAAGGCCATCCCTATAGATAAAGATAAGAGTGAAAAACTGAAAAGGCTCCCAGAAGAGATCCTCGTTTATATATTTTGTGCGATCGAAGATCTCTTCGATCCTTATTAGTACGATATAAAAGATGATACGGATTTCGTGATCGATGAAAGAGAGTAAGACGACTGGGGATTTCATGAAGATAAAGGTCTTATAAACGAAGAATATCATGATTCCGAGATGGCGGACCAGACAATCCCTTAGGGATATCGGGCTAGATATCTTCATTTCTTTTCTTTGTTCTGAAAGATTCGATGAGAACGATCGCGATTGTCTAGTCTTCTGGGCCGACGTCGTGCAAAGTAAGACGATCGCTTTCATGGCGCGCAGCAAGGCCAAGGGCAAGGGCAGGCCGATAAGTTCCAAAGGAGCGTACGGCTGCCGCCCTAGACCTATTGGTCTGACGGTGGAAGACCACAACTATAAGCTCCAGGAGATAATAAAGCTCCGGAGTACTTGTAATTTGCGGTCAGAAGGGCCATTGGTCCGGAGACGGCGAGTGCCCTGGGAAAGGCGCAGGGAAGCCATTAGTTGTATATTTTGCGCAGACTACCCGTCCGATGGATAAGTCCATGCAGATCTGCGATCTAAGAAGCCCTCCCAGACTCTCCGAGAGTGAAAATGAAAGTCAAAGTTTCGAGCCCGAGGTAGCGACGAATTACATCAGCTTAGGGCAGGACTCTGAGGTAGAGCCTGCGGCGTATATGGATTTTTTCAACAAACAGGATTTTGAAGAGTCTGACGAAGAACTCGTAGACGATTTTGGGTCGTGAGGCGCACCCTCCCGGAATGGGATATTGTACAGTACCCAGAAGACAGCGAGCAGCTGTTTCGTTTTGATATGCACAAGGGCAGCACGTATCTTGAGGTCTTGCAGAACCACCCAGACGACTATTAGCACTGGACGACTACTAGCATTGGGGTCTCAAGGAGAAAGAGCCGAGCACCATACTTGAGGCATGGATCATCCGGATGTATCGGAATCTCGACGTTCTACCCGTTGGGGATGGAGGTCCGACGTTCGGAGCTGTCACGCTGCCAGCGAAGGCAGACGCACTCCAGAAAGAGAGGAAAATGGTGACCTTTGAGAAGATTCCGAAGAGCAAATTTGGGCTCCTCAAAACGGATCGGATGTCCGGAGCACGTGCTTAATCGCGTTGGCACCCAGCGGCAAGGGCTGGGGTGGCCGGAATGGCGATAGAAGAAAAAAATGATTCCCCAGGAGGCATCACTCTAGACCATGCTGCCGTGGCTGCCGAGGCGGCGCAGCAGGGCGATGATCCCTTAGAGGATATCAGCCCAAAGAGCAGTCAGAGCAGCGATAGCGAGCTGGCTGCTCCCTTGGAGGAGGAGATCGCGGAACCGCGGCTCCCACTTGTGGACCCCTTAGAGGACCACGAGAACGTCTGGAGGATGCTGGACACGATACAGCGAAGGCGTCTTGGCACGTTTTGGGCTGTGCTTTAACGCCCTGAAGTCCACCGGCACGTCCTTTAAGGGGATTGGTGCCGCGAAGGCCGTGGGGAAGTTTGCGATGCCTTTTGCGTTGTAGATCTCTCCAGAGACTGGCAGCAAGCGCCGCAGCACGCGTCTGTAGGCTCTAGCGTGGATCCGAGTTGGACTCGCCGGACGTGTTGTGCCTTTTGTCCTTGCAGGACCAGGTCCATTGGACTGGTCAAGGATTTGAGGCGCGGCGTGTGCCAGATCTCTGGCTACGCTGGGATATTGTAGCTGGCCAGGCACTCGAAGACCGGACTGCTCCTCCTGTACAGGAGCCAGTTTGGGGCGAGTGTCACAGAGAGGCACCGCAAGTATGGAGGCAGCCCGGAGGCGATCTCTAAGAAGACACCCTAGCGAAAGACGCACCGTCTCGATCCCGTGCAGGGACGAGAAAGCCTCGATCCCTTTGAGGGACGAGAGCATATCAGCATACATGCTGTCGGAGTTGGTTCGCGAGCAGGAGAACCATTAGAAGAGAGTCCTCTTAATGACTCTCGGCCTCGAGAAACTGGAAACCTCTCATCGGGGCACCGGTATGTATCGTGGCCTCACCTAGATGATTGACAGTTTTCCGAAGAAGAAATCGTATGAGTTTACGCTCAACGAAAAGCGGCACGAGGATATTTTGCTGGAATCTCTTCGGACAAACTTCAATCAGCTGAAGGACTACACGGACGATCAAGTGGCATTCTTGGATTGCCGCGATATGCACGATCCTGGAAAGGATAAGTCCACCAGAGACCACTTGGGGACCTACCCGCCGAACATCCATGACATGATCTTGAATCCTCGCAAGAGTCATAAATCGATGAAGTTCGCGAGGAAGTAGCCCCTGCCGTCCACAAACTGATCCAAGACCAGGATAGCTCGGTGATCTTTTGCTTTTGCAAATCAGGCAGACACACGTCTGTCGTCAACACAAGGCTTTCTCAGGAGGTCATCAATACAATGTGGAGGTAGAGCTGATCCATTTATTTGTCGGACCCTAATTGGAGATACCTGTGCGGGTGGTGCAACTTCCCAAGGTCTGGGTCAGAAAAGACCGGCAGCGCCGCTTGGGTGACGACGGCGTTGTGGTCGAGGAGCCGACCCCTCCAGGCCCAGTGACGACCCGTAGCAGCCGGGCGCTACTGCAAAGTCGAAGACGGAACCGAAGAAGTTCGAGGACCCGAAGCCGAAGATTCCCTCGAAGGCCCCTCCTGAGTAATTCAAAGGTTCCAGCCGCCGACGCCTCTACAGGAGATTCTGCCGATCCAGCTGGGACGGCAGGGGGACGACAAGGACCTGGAGAAGGCCTGCTTCCTGTTTTTCTCCAGGGTTTACAGCGTCTTCAACCCGGCAAAGGTCGTCGAGGTCACGAACCTGATGGCGAAGTACACGGACCACGCAGCACTTATATGCGCGGTGTCTGCAAAGTACTTTGGGCACGAGGCAGCCCAAGCATTGGTGCTTATGCTGGTTGAAGACCTCTGATCCGGGAAACGGACGGAGAAGGACTGGCACGTCGACCTCGAACTGGCGAACCGAAGTCTGGATCAGGCGATCCTCCAGCTGGATGAAGAAGAAGTGTGATCCAGCTGGGTCCGACTGCAAAGTCAGCGGATCAGACTACGCCAGCCATCGACGTGGACCTGACTACGGGTGGCAGCAGCGACAGGCCGTGACAGGACCATACCTGGCTCACAGATGGGTACCTCGATCAAATCATAGCCGGCCATGAAAGGCACGGCGATGCGGCCTTTGAGCAGTGGTTGCACCCTGGCGGCAGACACGCTGGCGGACCTCCAGTCCAAGTTTCGTTCCGCGCGCGTCCAGCTAACAGTTGGGACAAAAAGCCAAGCGAACTCCGCAGGTACAGGAAGTTTACAGCCGTGCAGTGGGCCACCACCTCGACGTGGGACTGGCGTGAGGGAGACGAAGAATCCACTAAGTGGATCTTCTTCGGTGAGCGGGAGAGCCAGCATCCGCGCTACATGCTGATTTTCCTCGTCGCGCCAAGCTGCGGATCCGCCTACTACGTGGGCGGTGAGCTCCCCGAGCGACCTCAAGGTGATGAAGAAGGAGTAGGGGAAGATGTTTGAGGATTCCTCCAGGAACCTCAACACGCACGACGCTGTTGATACAGGCGTTGGGGCTCCCGTCAGTGACGGCGACGGGCGAGGCGCCCACGGTGTTCGTCCTGGCGAACGCGGGGTTCCAGCCCGGATCCTTGGAAAGGACCGGAGCCTGGGTGATCGTGCGACACAGGATGATCCTCTTGGAGGACATCGATGGCACAAGCAAATCTCTACGGAGATTGCGAAGATCCGTCCGGACCTCCTCCTGCTAGTGTACAGCTTAGAAGACCAAGAGGGTCTTAGCGGACAGGCACAGACCTGGCTCAAGTCCCTCTCCACGTACACAAAAGAAAGTCTCGTGCTTGACAGCTTAGGCAGTTTGCGCTGGAAATTTTGGTTTGAGAACAGTGTTGAGGGCTCTGAGAGAGAGTTTTTGCTCTTCCAGTGTAGAGGTGACCTAGGAATAGGCACTTTTTCTTAGGCGACGGGTGAGGTTATGAGTAGCTGGGCCAACAGTGACCATGACATTTACTACGCACCTGTCAGCATCGACACAGTAGGCACCCATGTTAGTTTTGCCGAAACCTTGTTGCTTGTGTTGCGAGAAGGCTGTGTTGAGGACCATGTTGCTGAAGCGTTTCTTGTTGAGGCAAGGCAGGACCAAGTTGAGCAATCTGGTACTCTAGATGCTATCGTGGATCCTAGAGACAACAGGACCACATTCATGGATGAACAAGAACTCGCGGAGGAGGCAGACTTCTTAGACACGTTGCCTTTAGCAGTTTCCCGAAGGAAGAGTCTGAGAGAAGAAAGGCATGGTCTAAGGTGCCAAGGCGTGTTCGGTTGGGAATTCGAAGGTTGCACACCATGATGAATCACAAACCGAAGGAGGTACTTGTGCAGGTACTCCGAGGTGCAGGTGCTTCTGAAGAACTGGTGAATACAGCTAAGACTTTCCAGTGTGAGTCTTGCAGGATGAGTGATGAGAAGCCTCGCACGCACCCAGTCTCAGCGCCACCACCTTACGAGTTCAACCACCCAGTTCCGGTGGATGTGCCTGAGACGGCAGACTACGTAGGACACAAGTATAGCTGGCTGAACATTGTAGATGTCGGCACCAGCTACCAAGTTGTGACCTTGGTCCGCGTGGGAGGCGGACAGCCGAGTTCGTCTAAGTGCTTGCAGAAATTTATGCAGCACTGGGTTTCACCTTTCGGGTGGCCCAAGGTAGTCTCTCACGACAGAGGGCTACACAACCGCGGGGCGTTCGCGCACGGGTTGTCTAGCCACGGAGTCCAGATTCGCCAAGCCGGACTGGAGTCGCCGGAGCACATTGGCAAGTGCGAAAGGCACGGAGGCATCATAAAGCGAGCCTTCAAGCGTTTGGTCAAGGACCATAACGTGGTAGGCAAAGATGATGTCAAGAAGGCCATGCTCGCGGCGCAAGTGGTAAAGAACGAGTTCATACGTGTCGGAGGCTTCAGCCCCACGCAGTGGGCGCTTGGACGATTACCTCGCAGAGTTGGACACGTTTTGGACGAAGAGGAGCTCGGTCAGCTCGGAGTTCTTTCTGGCAGGTTGGATGCCACGACAGCTTCGGCAGGCAAGCCGAGTTTAGGCATACAGCCAGGAAGGCTTTCGTGCACGAGGACTGCAGCCGACGGGTCAGGAAGAC